GGGGCGCGCGGTCCGGTCGCGGAGGTGAATTTCGAACCCACGCCGGCGGAAGCCGGCCGCCGGCGGTCCAGGGCTGCCTGAAGGCGAAGGTCGTGTTTGACGATGAGATCGGGACGCGCCTGGTCGAGTTGTTGCCCGACGACCGGCGCTCGGAGCTCGAACCGAAGTTGGCGGTCTTGGTCTTCCTCCTTCAAATTTAGAGACTCTCGGAGATAGAGAGGCTTGTATCTCCCTAGTGGCTCGCTGGTACAGAGCCACCCAATATCCTTTCCCTTCCTTAATACTCTCTAACCCTGTTATAGTTGCATCCCGCATTGTAATAGACGGAGAGTCTTCCTGGACATAGTGAGGCAGATCCTCTGCCCGTTCGTCCAGTAGCCCCGGCCCCTGTATACTACGGCAGCTGAGGTGACGTGAGGATAACAGAGACGCCGGTGTACCGCCACTGCGTAACCTCGATAGTTCACCCTCACACGGCAGGGCAGCCCCACTAGGCTGCCTCCTCGTGTCGGAGTTTACTATCTCGTTAAAATTTGAGCTCTCCATTGATTGGTGAGGTATCATGATGTGTGATTGAGCCGTTCCACCACGACTTCCAGTACGGCTCTTTGGTTGGGTTGCACCGCCCGTATTTAGACTTAAATATATAGCCTGGGCTGCTTAGACATCCTCTCTAGATAGCCCCGCAAGATAGCCCCTGGAAGATGGCCGTAGCAGACCTCAGGAAATGGGCCCTAGTGATTGGAATTGCCCAACATATGTATCATGAACGATGCGAGCCATTCGTTAGGTCAGAATTATTTCGATGTTGGCAATCCGCTCAGGGCCACCAATATCCCAAAAGAAGTTCTAACTTCATTCAGCTAAATGAAGTCTAGGATACAAAGGGCACGATTTGCTTGTGTGGTCAATTCGAAGGACGCATTCCCGTGTCCCTTGACTTAATATCTCGCCATGTAAGTGCGGTTGAACACGTGTAGAAGAACCTCCGAAAGAGCGTGACGTCATGTGCGTACGTGGGGTCCTCTTCCGTGGCGGTGACGATGATGGCGCGGGCGGGAGTGGCTGAACCGGGGCAGTGTGAAGAGAGCAACAATAGGGACGAGTAAGCGACAAACGCTTACAGCAAAGTTTACATTTGAGGCAGGGCGGCAGGCACAGGCCATCAAACAATACTGAGCTGAATTTGGCCCTTGTACTATATAGTAGAGTTCCAACAATAATTTTGTCGATTGTAGTCTAAAGTCTGGAACCACAGCCCGGGCGCTTCGGAAATTGGGCAGCCAGAGGCGTGTACGCACTGGCGAAAGGTCGGCGGTAGAGCCCAAATGCCTAGCGCACATTTGGCCAAACGCAGTCCGCATGCACAGTCATGTGCGACGAAGGTCACGTAATCTCAAAGAATCAAGCTGTCTCTCAAATAGGGAAAGCGCCGCGCGGTATAGTTCAATGTCGAGCTTGACCGCCTCATTGATGCGTCTGAGTACCGACAAATCCAGCGAGGATGTGGAAGTGTTTTGATTATGAGTGTGGACGGAACCGGCAGTGCGCTGCGGCATCAGCTTTCCGGTCAGGGCAAAGGAAAAGAGGGCCATGGACTCCTCAAATCTCTCGGTAATACCGATGACAGCAAACCATTCCTCGAGATGCTCGATGATGAATTGGAGATCAGCTGCATTGGCAGCTCCTTCGCGACCACGCCGTGTCTCAAGCGGGTTAATGCGCAACTCTCGATTCCTTTGTCGCCAAGGTATGTAGATTTTCGTGTCAGCGTGGTGCCAGTCTTCTGAGGTGAGCCGTAGGAAGTGTTCCAGCATGAAACTGCCCTTTTCCTCAGCCCATTGGGCCACGTCTAGCGTGCGCATGTACGCTGCTCCACGCTGTCCTGTGCAGCATTGATCTTCGAAGTCAACGGCGTGACAATACTTGTGCTCTGATACAATTCTTGCCGCGGGCTCTCGAAGAACCTACGAATGCCCCTTGACAAGAAAGCAATGGAACTGCGGGGATGAACTCTGGAGACGAGCGACATAGTATGCACAGGGAGCTTTGGAGTGGCTACTACAGGCACCAAACGCAAATGCGCCGTATAGCACAAGGTGGACTTTCTTTAATTTCTTATTCAGGTCCCATTCGCGCCGCGTGTCAATGTGTAGAGATTGGGTTTTGGATCCTTTCAGCTGCTTGCTGCGATGCTCCTTGAGGAAACCCTTGACAAAGAGCTCCTTAACAGAGTTGCCGGCGGCCTTGGGAATGTGGAGGAATACGGTAGGGGATTGCCAATAGACGATATCATCAGGAGGAGTCGTGACACGCCAAGACCGGTTGACAAAAATACTCGACGACAACGCTCCACTCACGACATTACCGACGGTTTGAGGGCGCGCATGATTGTCGTTAGGCCGGTGCAAAGGGTCATACCGACGGTCAAAGTCAGCATCAACAGCGCGAATAGTACGGTCGCCGTAGAAGTTTGGCAGACCTACTGGTCCCTCAGCGGTTTGAATTGAGAGTTCATGGGAGTGGAGGATCACACAATTACGGCCGGCACCAAACTTAGCTGCTAAGTTGTCACTTGGCTCTCGAAAACCATCGCAGACCAAGGGAATCGCAAGCTTGGTACGCCTGTTCCGCCCACGGCAATTTGCAGAGGCAGGAAGCTCACGATAGCCGACAGCTGAGCGAAATAGCGAAACCCTAAAGGCCGGTTGGTCCATCAGACGTGAACTATGCCGTGCAAGCACATGATATGCAATATTCCAGTTCGCTAGTAGCCGCTTTGTAGCAGACGAGTTCCGCACGACCTACAGTCGCACTCGTGTGTCAATCCAATTTTCTCATTCCTTGTTAATTCACACCCCGTCACACGAAATACCGAACTAATACTGCAGCGCAACTCACGATTACGCCTGTGTTGGCCTCGGGAAAGTCTGCGGGCACGGCGAAGATCTTAGATATGACCTCGTGGCCATGCGTGTGGCCTTTTGGGACAGGAACAAAAGCAACATGTGAGGGCTGGGTATCGGGAGTCTTCCGCGGGGCATCAAGTGCCTCAAACATGCGGCCGAGCGGTGCACAGACAACAGTATCTGTGTCTAGAAACAAGATCGTGTGGTAGAGTTGAAGCCCGAGCATGAAAGTTCGTACCTTTAAGATCCGGAGGCGTTTGAGGATCATCGAAGACTTGCTCAAACGTTCATCATGCCAGCTGTCTAGCACATCAGGAATCTCAGTATTGACACACTCCCCTGGCGCTCCTTCGCATTTTTTTTTCCGGAATCCTTCGAACTCGTGCATCTCATCGAAGCGCAACTGTGCAGATTTCCGTCCGACGTCGACCACGCAGTCGAAAACGTTCGATGACCATCGTGTCGCTCGCATCTTACCGTTGGAGTCAGTCACGAGTAGGGAACCGATCTCGTTTGCGCTATTTGTGAGGCGCACAGAGCGCGCTGATTTGAAAGCTTTTTGAAGCGAGGTCGACCCCACTGCCACGTAAACAACACCTCGTCGTTGCGGGGCCGAAGCCCGCAAAGATAAATCGTTCGCCGCAATCACCTGTCGCGCACGAGTATCTCACCTAGCTGCGGTGCACTCTTAAGATGCAACGCAGAGGACGCTGGAGAGGGCTGAGTGTATCCATTTTGTGGACAGGTAACTTTCAGGGGGTGGTCTTGGCTTACTACTCGATCTATGGGTTCGATCCTCACTGCCCGCATCGTAGCGCCTCGAGCGTCTAGTACTACTGCGGCTATTCCCAAATTTATCGTGCGAAGCGTTCGTCAGCTGTAACAGAGCAAAATCGTGAAGCACAAGACGTGCCAGGGTCCAGCTAAGTAGTGCCCTCAATCTAAATTGCACCATTGCGAAGTCCTTAAAACTTGAGCTAGTACACGACCATAGGCGGAAATTAGACCCACCTCTCACTCGATGATACATGGATGACGAGATTGGTCTACTATTGTAGTATACTCACTAATTCGTTTCCGTCCACTTGGCCTACATGGATCTTCATTATTGGCTTACGATCCAGGGGGAGTAGAGAGATAGAGAGTTTTGTATCTCCCTAGTGGCTCGCTGGTACAGAGCCACTCAATATCCTTCCCCTCCTTAATACTTTCTAACCCTGCTATAGTTGCTTCCCGCACTGTAATAGACGGAGAGTCTTCCTGGACCTAGTGAGGCAGATCCTCTGCCCGTTCGTCCAGTAGCCCCGGCCCCCGTATACTACGGCAGCTGAGGTGACGTGAGGATAACAGAGACGCCGGTGTACCGCCACTGCGTAACCTCGATAGTTCACCCTCACACGGCAGGGCAGCTTCACCAGGCTGCCTCCCCGTGTCGGAGTTTACTATCTCGTTAGGTCCCAAGAACGGAATTCCGCCAGCCCCGGTTCTATGTAGCAAACTGTCCCACTCTCTGGTGGCCTGAACTGAAACCCGCCCTCGTTAATGAGGGGGGGGACTCGACGGTCCTCCGTCCCCCCGGGTGAGATTATTAATCTCTGGAGCAGATTGCCATCTCCATGTGTTATCAAGTCCTGGATGGTGTTGCCCCCCGGAGGGCTGGGGCCCCGGGCCGGTCTTTAGACTGACTACCGAGCTTGGCGCCCTCGGACGCCCTCGCTGGTGGCTAAAAGAAGACTGGGCTAGCAAGCGCCAGGTCCAAGGGGGGTCAAGCGCAATAAAACAGGACCATAGATAAGAGGGCGACTAGCAGTGGCCATGGCTGTACTTGTGTTGTCCTGCGGCGTTGTCCCGGTTTTAGTCGCCCATAGTTACACATCGCTGCATATTGGTGGAGTGTGGCGGCTCAGGACCTGGTCAGAAGTGTACGCGGACGCATCTATTTCAACGCTTCGGGATCTGGTGTCGCACGCTTTGGGATCTAGTCTCGAATTTGGCTAGTCCTCCTCACGAACCGACTATCAGGTGTCATTGGACGAAGTAGTATCTCACTCGTGGCCTCGAAGCGGTGCTTAAGTTGCGCTCCTTGTAAAAACAATGCAGTGGGCAGTGGACGCACGTCCTGGGACGGCGACGTGGTCGTCGCAGGGTTTCGTGCTGAGCACGGTGCACCCGCGAAGTGCGAGGTGGCGATTAGCTTCATGAAGTGGCAGGAAATGGAGCTGCATGCCGGGCTCTTCGATTGCTCGCCTAGAATCCAAAGTCAATTCATGACGCAAGCAGACTCCAGGGTACAGATTCATTTCCGATGACACGGCTGATTTGACGAAGGGTTGCAATCGGCGTCGACATAGGGGGATGGAGTGTAGCCTGGTCGTGCAGTGGCTCTGCGATTATCAGGGGCTGGATTTGGTCTCTCACACCACTCTCTTGAGGTTTTAAGTTGCTTAGATCAACATACGCATATGCCGGAAGGGACCCGTAAGTAGCTGCACGAAGCCAAATCCACCAAAGGCCAACACATCACACAGGTGTTCCAAGGCTGCAACTTGTAACTGAGGAATCATGTGTTGCAATGAGAGGAGTGAGAGAACGAGATCGGCCCGCGCGGCGCCAAGAATGCCGATTAGCTCTTGCCCGACCTGAAGAATAAAATCACATAGAGAGCAGCGCGTGCGTGTGGCGCAGACGGTGGCATAATTGGTCGGTATAAGAAGAACGCGTCGAGCCTCCTTGGGGTATTGCAGATCAAGCGTCCTTCTTGTAACCTGCAACACTCGGCTGTGAACAAGGTGTCGATATTGGCCACACCTCAAGATGGCGTGCGGAGTGATCTACACAAAAGACCTGCAGAAATTACTCAAAGCTTGTATTACAAGCTTCTCTGCGTAGGACCGACTTGGAGCGCTTTGCGAGCGCTCTGGAGAGGCGACCAACGCCGCATCCAAAATCCACCACAACCTGATGTCTGCGAGCTATGTCTATATGCCCCAATGCAACAACGCTGCCAGCAGTGCATCGATAGTACCCCCACCACTCCACTTCAGGGTACCGCTATTTAATACTGTCGCAACTTCTCTCGACATCATGCCATCGAGGTGTGCCAGCGCGTCTAGGACTGCAGCCTCACCGCTTTTATAAAAGACAGTCATCGCAGTATGACCTGGAACATTCATCATAAAAGGATATCCAAGCCAAACTATAGCATACTGAGATTGCGCCTGTCGAATTGATCAGCGGAAAGTACGGACCACCAGGGGCGCGCCCTGCCAAGATCCTCCCAGACTGATCGTTGAGAGCCCGTCACCGCCTATTTCATCTAGATTTCTCAGATACTTATCGTTGGCTCGCGCCTCAAGGTCAGTCATCGTATATTCTTGCAACTGGCAGCCCTCAATGCGCATCGTATAAATTCGTTCGTGCGCCAGCGCTACGCAAAACACGACATACAAGAATTTATGGTGGGTCCAGACGATCATGTCGAATGCGCGGATATGGAGAAGACTCACGGCTGAGGTTGACAAGCGTTTCCGTCCACTTGGCCTTTCGTATCTCCCACTAGCCTGAGCTAAAGGAAGCAAGTAAGATCCTCCCTCGAGGGGAGGTTGAGCTCAGTTTCAATTAAAGATGCCAGAATGAAGGCCGACGGACCGCGCTTGGATGGCGCAGCCACCTCAGCGGGGATGGAGGAGGGTAGGGCAGGGCGGGTGCTTCATTTGTGCCGAAGGAGGGTGGTGGGCGGGCCAAAAAATATAAGCCGCGCCACCCCGGACCCCGGGGAAGCGGCGAGCTGGGAGAGGACCACCACAACCAGCAGTTTTATTTAGCTGGATGATGATAGGTCTAAACTCACTAACTCGTTACCGGAAACATATTGTACTGCCGTAAATGCAATTTCCGTCCACTTGGCCTTTCGTATCTCCCACTAGCCTGAGCTAAAGGAAGCAAGTAAGATCCTCCCTCGAGGGGGGGTTGAGCTCAGTTTCAATTAAAGATGCCAGAATGAAGGCCGACGGACCGCGCTTGGATGGCGCAGCCACCTCAGCCATACTCCTGCAACATAATGAGGGCTCAGAGAGGTTCCCCCAACGTCCCCCCAGCCGGAGCCCGACGGCAGCTCCCGGTCGTGGCCCGCCGCCACGCCCGACTCGCTGCGGGGGAGCAGAGAGGTTCCCCCAACGTCCCCCCAGCCGGGGAGTTTCACCTGACTTGCAGTCAGGCATTTTCGCGCTACAGAGAGCGCTTAGCGCATAGGAGATGGTAGCATTTCCCAGCCACCTAGGAGGCGGTTCACTGGGGCTGCTTCAGCAACGCCGGCCGCAAGAGCATAAGGAGCGAGTATCGACTGGGCTGCAATAATAAACAGTAGCTCATTCTCTCTATCTCCTTTGGGCGCTACTTTCCTGGCTAATCGAAGATTACCTGTACTGGGAGATACGAAAAGCGAAGTTGAAGGAAACGTCTTGTTACTCGATTTGTAGATTCTACCCGCAGCGATGGCGTCCCAGGGGAGGGACGGCAAGAACACCGCCCTCAACGAAAAGCGGGGTCGGCACGGCCATCGTGGCGCCCTGCAGCATTCGACTCGCTCCGTGACCCTTGGTACTCTTGATCCACTTTCGCTTCGCTTATTGAGGGAATCACAGGGGAGATGATTCACGAGATCCGAGCAGAGGGTGATAATGTTTGTAACATGCCAGGCCGAATCCGAGCGATGGCCGATGATCAACTTGCAATCTATGTTCGATTGATTAATGTCTACACGCATCATTGTTGAATTCCGTATCCCGTCAGGTTAGTTTCTTGGAAAATCGACGCATTGACAAAGAAGTCCCAGTTGCGATTAGGACGGGCATCGGAGAGATATTGAAGGAAGCACACCAACATATGCGCGAGAAGCGACTGGCACACGACGGGTTCCAAGAACTACAAGAGGTTTACGCGCGCCGTATCGCCAAAGAAAAAGAGGAAGCAGTGCGAAATGCCAAGGAACTAGCAGATGTAATAGCCTCTGTGAGAGTCTATTGCGAAAAGAAGGCAACCGCCGAAGTCGAAGACCGAGAGGCTCTGAGCCGTAAGACGTACAGGAAGAATGTGCCCAAGAAAAAGAGGCGCGCAAGACGCCGACGAGACAGACTGATGCGTTACGCTGTCATCCTTGCTGCTATCGGTATACTCGAGCAAATAATCGTGTACTCATCCAAGACGGGTGGGGCAAGTGATGGGCTCCTTGCCATGGCACTCCTTTTTTACTTCGTTTCCATTTGCCTTGTATTGTACGCGCATTACTACGTCGGACCGCGGTCCATTGGACCATGGCGCCCGACAGACCCCACGGTTCTACATGATAACGTACATCTCCGTGCCAGTGACCTTCTTGCTAAATGGGAAAATGATCAGAAGCAGAAGCGAGAAGAGATGAAGCAGCAAAAGCGAGATAAGCGCCTCGAACGAAGATTGGCCCACGAGGCAGAGATTAAGGCTGACGCTGAGAAGCGCAAAGCGGACAAGATACGGGCAGACAACGCGCGTCGGCGTTTTGCAAAGCCCCCTTGCGATACAAGCGACCACGGGCAGAGGCTGGGGCTTTAGTGCAAGGGCCCTCGTTTTGTGCTTGGTCGCGCCCGCTGGTTGTTCTCGCTTGGCTTTGGAACGTCCAAGTTGAAGGACCGTAGATAGCGGGTAGGCTGGTAGTGGCTGTGCTAAACCTAGATACTGAGTTCCCCTGCGACGAGGGGCTGCGGGCAAAAATGGGGCTGCGGGCAAAAATGCAACACGCGGTCCCTGAGGCGGCGCCGAGACGCCGAGGTACCTCGCCCCCTCGCCCGATGAACTCAGAAACGTTGGATTCGTGGTGTATTACATGTAGGTCATCTAGAATGTGGCCAATTAGCGCTGATGTAACCTTGTTTCTGCCAAGGTAACAAATAATCATCCGGAGTCCGATGAGTCATGATGAGCAGCCAATATCCTAACTAGGATTACATGCCCTCTTGATACTCCCCTCCCTCAGGAAGTTCCCTGTCTTCGTACATTATAGTAATCTCGCTGACAGCGTGTCTGTGCGGTACCGTGCCCAAGTCTACGAGAGTAGCCTCCTTCTAAAGCCACACCGTGTGACAACTGGTGGAGATAAAACAACACCAGCGACATGGAAATAAGACTCCGCGACGACGCTGCGCAAGGGTGCAGGGCCGGCGACACGCGCCTTGGCGGTCCGCTCGTCGCGGCTCGATGCGCGCGTGCGCCCGTTTCAGCGCCTACTCCGGCCCTCGCCGCGCAGCAGACACGAGGACGCGAGCATTTTGCCGCGGCGTCGCGCGGTCCCGCGGTCCCGCGCGCGCGCGTTGTGGCGATTGGCGAGCGGCAACTTGAATAACTAACGAAAAGGAGGTCCCTGATTGGTCGGGAGGTGGGTGGGTGGGTGCCGGGCGAGCGACCGAGGAGCCCGTCATGACGTGCCAGGAGTTTATCCCGGCCTTCCCTCACATTTTGGCATCGAGGGGGTGTTATCCAGGGGGGCTAGAGGGGTACCTAGACGAGCCGACAGTGCCAAAAACAAACCCTTGAAACGAAAGGCCTGGGGGTTTGTATCTTGAAGTTCATCACAAAAAGTTGCCAAGCTCAACATACAAGTTGAAGTTAGGGGGTCGTAAACCGCTTGAAAGTGGGGTCATTTCGCCGAGACTGGCGTTGTGAGTGCGGTACCTTCGTACATTTTGAGACACTCGGGCGTGAGGATCGTTTTTCGCGAAAAGTTGACTTTCAGCCCGCGCTAGACCCGCGTGCGCGCGCGCGCGCGGCAAATTCTCAGGAGGTGTAGTACACGTCCCGCCCGCCGCCGGCGGGAAACAATAAATAATTATTATTTATTTAATTCGAGTGGGCCGGCCTAGGCGTACGTTGTTTTTGGCACTGCGAGCCGAGCTAGCTGACAGCTAGGCTGGCAGCTAGCCGCCGTAGCGTAGGTTGGCCTTGTTCTTCCAGTTGACGTAGGCCTGGAGCTGCTCGCAGACGTCGTGGTGGAGCGACGCGAAGTCGGGCGTGAAATTCTCGTCGAGGACGTCGGCCTTGTGCGACGACCCGAAAATGATTTGCACGAGGTCCATCATGGCATGCAGCACTCGGGCCCGAGCCCCCCGACCGAGTAGGCCAGGGCCTGGCGCGCCTCGAAGGACCAGGCCTCGTGCAGCCCTCCGGCCGGCTCGAGAGCCGCCGTCGTCATCACCGCCTCCGCCGCCGTAGGCCTCGCCGTCGCCGTCGCGTTCGCCTCGCCGCCGTCTCGCCGCAGTTGCAGCTGTCCAGGTGGCCGCCCCACATTTTGGCGGCCCACGCTGAGGGGCCATCGGGCGCCCGTGAAGCTTTACCGGATCCGTAAAGCTCGACCGTGGGCGAGGTGGAAACACGGCCTCAGAGGGAATCGTGTGAGGCGAATATGATAAACGAAGGGGAAGTCCTGAAAGTAGCCGGACGAGACGCCATTACGTCATTCCTCCGCTCCCGTAGCGTATTTGAGCTCGTGCGCACTTCGGGCAAGGTGCTGAATCGAAGTTGATTGGAACGTGGAGATCAACTGGTCTGGCTTGCTCGTAGGTTGTTGTTTTCGAAACTAACATTCCAATTCAACTAGCTTTCTATGCTCTCCTGGAACATGAGTCGGCAGCAGCTCCCCTATGGGATAGCTCGCGTCGAGAGTTCATTGGTCTGATGACAATCACTGATTTTGTGGACATCCTTCGACATTATCACGACGAGCATGGGAAGACAGGCGCAGCTATAGAAGTGCTCGCCTCTCGGTCTATCGCCCAAGTGTTGGAGGACGCAAATGCGGGTGTGCATTTCAAGCATGCGAAAGAGGCCAGATCGGATGGACTGGGACCGCTGCTTTCTTGTGGTGCGACAGGGGACTATGGGGGACTGATTGCTGTGGACGCCGACGGTGCGCGCACTCCTTGTGGTCCAACTAATTCGAAGCGCTTTGTAGGCTCGCTATACGATGCTTGTGACGCAATGCGGTTGAACAGACGCCGGTTCTTACCCATTGTTGCGCCGAAGGATTGTGGCATCCTTGCTGTTGTGACGCATGTCGAAATTCTCGAGTATTTTGTGGCAACATTCCGAGAGGAGCGTCGACTATTTGACCAACCCATTATCGAGTTAGGCATTGGGACATTTGATGATGTTGCCTACGTTAGTAACACAACGCCGCTTCGCGATGTTCTTGAGCTCCTCTGCATGCGTGATATCAGTTCGGTACCGGTTGTCGACGAAACTGGGCGTGTTGCCGCTCTATATGGACATGCAGATATTACTTTTCTTGCCACTGCAACGGACGCTGACTCGGTCGTAGTCAACCTCAGCTCTTCCGTTGCAGATATCCTGCAGCAGCGCCGCACGGACGAGCCTTTACATACCTGCTCCCAACATGCCACACTACAGTCTGTCTTTGAACTGTTCGCCGACGTCAAATTTCGACGCCTCGTGTGCCTTGATGACGACTGCCGCCCCGTGGGCGTGATCTCCGCCCGCGATCTCTTGCGCTATTTCCTTTGTTAGGATGGCCTGGCCTGCCAACCTGGAGCCATTGCAGAGCCGGCTGATGCTGCGAAATGCAACTGGAATTATAACTACAGGGGCGCGCGGGCAGGGCGCGTGCTAGCAGGGGCCCAACGACAATAGACCAACACGCACCCAGATAAACGATCCACCAAAATAAACAGCGAAATAGACACGTCCCGGCGACGGACCATGCTCCTCAAAACAAAATAGAGCAGCGAAATAGTGCCCCGGCCAGAGAGATCGTTCTCGCGCGAACCTCCGCGAGCTCGCAAGGTCACGGTGCGAAGCGGCTCTCTCCGTAACAGTGAGAGCAACTCCAAATCGAAGAAGGAGCATACAAGGCCGCTAACTTTTGGTTAGAGTGGGTACCCGACGGATGTTACAAGACCGCCAGCTTTGGGTTAGAGTGTGGGGGGGGGGTTAGAGTGTGGGTAGGTCTCCAGTTCCGCCCGACGGATGTTACAAGACCGCCAGCTAGTGAACCACCCGACGGATGTGAGTTGGACGCCGCCGTGACGGATGTGAGTTGGACGCCGCCGTGCTCGAAGGCCGGGCTCATGTGCCAGTGCCGTTCGGCAGCTTTCCGCTTCCGCACTCCCTTCAAAACAAATTCGCAGCAGATTTAGAGATTCATCCTGCCTTTCTTCATCAGTCCAACTTACGACCTGTGACAAGTAAAGAGCAACCAATACCCTGGCTTCTGTGGAGTGAGCAACCTCAAGATACAGCTCACTAACGGGAGTGGAAATCTCTCTATCTCTCTATAGTCCTCTGTCCTCGCTGGCCGTTGGTCTATACATGCAACACCAGAGGCAGGGTGGTAGGCTGTGAAGTGGAAATGGTTGGTTCAGGTCGAGGAAAGCATATAAGGCGCGTCGGAAGTACGCTGCCCTTAGCCCATTTGCCACTTTCATCCACTGCCAACTCAGCTAGGATCACGTTACTCACTTGCGCGTCACATGTGATTCGCTGTCATCGCTGTCGACCTCTTCTACTTCCTCATTCACTATGTCATCATCAATAACATCCTTAGATTCTTGATCTTCAGAGGGGATAGCTGCCCCGACAGCCCGGTGAATCTGTTCGAGAAGATCTTGTTCGAGATATGGATGAAGGACGATGCGCCTTTGTCGCATTTGCTGCACCAATGCAAATGCATCATGGGCATTGTTTGCTTTAAAATGATATTCCACTAATAGTGCATATGCATCACCAATTCGGATAGCCTAAGTGAAAGATGCAAATCTGATGATAAGTTCAATACATATATAGACACGACGAATTACGGATTCAATGTCATGTCGTTGCAACAGGGCTGTGCACACGTCAGCCATCTTCTGAGGGTCTGACTTTTCATATCGCCTGGCCTCAACAAAGTCCGAGACAATTGAAATGCGCGACTCCAGAGCAGTGATGCGGCGCTCACGATCCGCCATCTTACGAGCCTTTTCGAGCTGTTGCCTGGACTCCTTGAGTGCTCCGAGAGCCTTTTCGTAGTCTCGAAATTCATCTATTTCCATTTGTGCGTATGCGTCATAGAAAGCAGCCAGGGGTTCGTGGGCACGCGCCTTGGTGTAGAACTCAACAATTTTTTTGGTGAGTTCGGCTGCGGCTTCCGATCCTGATTGCCAATCCAGAGATTGAAGGTAATTTGCCGCAAGTATGTAGATGTCGCGATGTCGGCTCACGGATGCGTAGTAGATGATATTTTTGGTGTCGCCACTCTTGAGAAGACATTTGAGGGCGCGGGGACGGTCCCCGGCTTGAGTGAACTTCTTGCAGGCGAGCTGGAACGAATTCTGCTTCTTACACGCGCGTGCTAACTCGAGAAGTACCTCAGTTCGCTCTTCACACGTTATTTTTCTCGGCGCACGTCGTGTCAAACTACGCTGGGTGGGAGTTGTGCTTTCGCCGACATTTTCATGCTTGGGCGGGGTCATCGCCTCGGCGAGTTCGTCCGTGATTGCGACGTGGCGCTCTGAGCACAGAGCGATTGCCTGGGCATACCGACCACCAGTGATATACAGCTTGACTGCCTTTTCATACTGGCCATGCTCAACGAAAAATTCGGCACAACGTGCCACCACAGCTGGTGAAGCTGTATCATCAAGTTCCTTGGAAATATTGGAAAGGACCTCAAACATCTGGGCGCGCCCCGCACCGCCGACCTTGAAGCACAGGTCAAGGGCCTTTGCAAGCTCGCCACCTTTCTGGTACAGTTGAACTGCCTTCTCAAATTCACCTTTTTGCTCGAAATAATTTGCACAGTCAACTTGAAGGCTTGGCCGTGCTTTGATGGAGAATTGAAGAAGATCCGTGTCTAGCTGATACTGACGTGCGAGGCGGATTGCGTGATTGTAGCATCCAGACTTTGCAAAGTACTGAATAGCCTCGTTAATATCGCCGCGACCCTCTAAATGACGAGCAAGGTGATATGCACCAGCGGTGGAGCGGGATTCGTGGACAATTTCCGAAGCGCGATTTGTTTCATTGGAGAAACAAGCCACCCGAACTAGCGAATAATGATCGCCAGCCGACTCATAGCAGTGCTGCGCCGAATCAAGATGACCTAGAGATTCACAGTAGCCAGCCCACCATTTTAGCAGCTCTGCATCGTTTGCGCGCATGACGTAATGCTCGAGTGCTGCTTGCTCGCCCCGGGCAACCAGCATACGGGGCACCTCCCGCCGGTGGGTATCTGCAAGTTCAAAATGTCGTGCAGCCCCATCATATGAACCGAGTGCTTCCAAGTGTCTCGCATAGCGATGGTGCGTTGAGCGCAAATGAATGCGGTCAGAGTGAGCTGCAGTATCCAAGGCCAACTCCCACTCCCCAGCAGCTTGGTAGAGCTCATTCAAGAGGTCAAAGCGCCTACATTCGCGATAGAGTCGCGCGGCATCATTTCGGAGCCCGAGTTGCACGGCAACAGAGGCGACCCTGGCTTCCAGCTCAATAACATCGTTCTTGGTAGCGCGAACCGCCGCAGCACCACGAGCGTGTCCCATATGGCCGAGGCAAACCTCTGCAACATCTAGGCGCTTAGTCTTGACACACATGTGTGCCATATTCTCCCAGACGGACGGAGATTTGATGAGACGCACCGCACGGTGTGCTTCATCCATATTCCCAACTGTTAGATAGAACGAAAAATCAAGCAACGCAGACCGAGTTCGTGCATCTGCATCATCAAGACCAACAAAATCTCGCATAACGCGACCGCACAACCCTACGTTGCCACCCGCCTCGCATCCACTAGTGTTTACATTCATATCCTCTGCATCTGCATCGCCAGCTTCAAGTGTAGGCGCTCCACCACACCGTGTGAAAAACAGGCGGGGAACTTGAACCCCCAACAGTGCCTCTAGCGGCGGCTCAAGTGGAAATGTGTCTTGAAGTAATATTCCATACTCGGCTGTAACAAAGAGCGTGGTAACTTCCATGAGCGGGCCCGCTTCTTCTGTAACCTTGCGCGCGAGTTTTCTTTGCAACGCGCTGGACCGTGTCTCGGCGCTGTCGCTAGGGGTTGAAATTTTGCCTTCGTGCAAGCCGAGGGGGAAATATTTCTTGCTGGTCTCATGTTCTGCTAATCGAAGATTGCCATTTGAATTGGTGATGCTTGTGTGTAAAATGCGCATGCGGCGGGTTTCGCAAGCAAGTAATTTGGGCTCTAGTGGGTCCCAGTAGTGCGACACCGGATAATGTCGCACGTCAACAAAATCATGCGAGTCGACAATATCTCGCTCTGAATCATACACATGAAGACGCGAGTCAGGCTCACGGATTCGAACTGAAACACCATGCACCTTTGANACAGACACGCATAATGTCAGCTCTCTAAGCGCCCCCTCTCTCGTGCTACACACTTCGTTGTCTACCTCGCTGCTGCATACATGATCAGCCAGGATAGACACACGCGTCCCATCTGCATTACATCGGATAGAGCGAATGGCATGGCCACGGGCAGACTCCTCTGTAGAACGCCCTTTGGATGACCCAGGCGGGTGCACAGATTCATCAGTGTTCGAGGGGAGAAAATTCTGAGCCTGGGCCCAGAGGTGAAAGTGACCTGGAGAGCCAAGCTGCTTGGGTTCACGCCTAGTCACTTGAAATATCTTGATTAAACCAGTGTCAGTTGCAACAGCGAGATAGTCACCGTTGACATCAAGGTGTGTCGGAGAACCTTCACCCTCTGAAAAGGTAATTTTTTGACGCACGATGCCTTGAAGATTGCACAATTCAACAAGGTTGTTCGATGCGCGAAAAATTGTCTCGTCTCGGAGGGCAATGGCACGAGCCGTAGTAGGGAATCTGGCTGTTTCTATTGGCTTTGCGTCGCCCATTTCGTCCGACCATTCATAGACTCGAGCCTCCTGTCCGTTCCACACAACAACCTAAGAAATATATATGAAGGTCCTCGGTTGGAGAATGAGTCCGGTACATATGAAAAACGCTCGCCAGCCCGACCCTGGTGCCGGCATGACGGGATGATACAGCGAGGCCTCGAATAGAGAGATCTGTTGTCAGAAGGACGCTTGCACCGTTCTGCCGCTCGACCCTGACAGTATCAGTGGAGAGTTGAATAACGCCGACGTCTGCTCGAAGAAGGCGGTGAAGGACCGTCTCTGAAAGAAGCGAGGTCGCGCCATCGGGAGCAGCAGCTGCGAGGAGACCCTGGCCAGGCCCCCACGCCATCACATCTATTGATGATGCGCCACCACATGCTGTTGAAAACGGCATAGCTTCCCAGTCGCTGGCCTAAGTGAAGCAAACCTATGACTTTCCAGCACGAGCATTCCTAAATTGTGTTAATTTCACGGCCCGGCAACTTGCGCTTGTCGTAACACCTGCAACGCCGTGCGACCTATGTAGTGAGATGGAAGTGTGCATGAATACCGCTTTCGTCCGCATGAAAAAATTACAGTTTGTGTCAGACACGCTTTCGGACGTCGTTCCCCGGTAATCGCCGCAGAAGCGCCACATTGCGATGCTACCATCTCGCGTCCCAACAGCTAGATAGCGCTGGAGGGGATTGAATGCCACAGAGGCGACTCGCGAACTACGCTCCAGTCCGACCGAGGTAAGCGTTATAACATAAGTCTCGTCATTTGCCAAGTTCCAAAAGCGGATCAGTGCCTAAAGTAAATAGGTCATCCTGGGTGATTTATCAAGACTCTTAACAGCAAATGTGCCATTCACAGAACCTCCCCAGTTGCAGCGGCAATGACGCCAGGTCCAGCCCAGCAGATGTGCTTGATCCCACGCTCTGCTGCCCCACCCGCAACGGCAACTTTCATCTTCATGACCGGAATTACTTTGCAGTCGCTACCAATTTGGAGCTGAACAAGAACAAGCGCGCGTGTTAGTATGACGAGGCGTGATTTTGCTTCAAAAAAAAGCATGTGATCGATGCGTGCACCGAGAGCCTGAACCTCCGTCGTATGGCCCATATCGTCTGCATAGTACAAGGACCCACTGCGGGTGCCAATGAAAAAAGCAGGTGAAAAGGCATGTGCTAAGCTCTCAGCTCGTGCCTGTGCCAATTCAAGCCTCACTCAGGTCGTTCGAAGGTAGATACTCGTCGTAAGTTCGGAGACGCCCAGGCACGCTGAGCCGATGGTCATCGGTGTAAAAACCTAGGTCGCAAATAAATTTAATTTTGCCAACAAGAAAGTAAGCCGAAAGACTTTAGTTTCAGGAAATTATCACACTTTCGATATGATTCGCGGGAAGGGCGCAGCACAGGTGACTCCCGACCCGATAGAGTATTCTTTTAGGACAGAAAGACTGGCACGCGTGTCGGCCTATGGTAGAGCCCCCGCTAGGATCATGCTAGTTTATTCATGCGAAGAACCTTCCAGACAGTGATAGCGCCGGAAGTATCGCCGCTGACCAACCGCGTCGCCGATGGGTTCCACATGACAATACGGACAGGCGCACGGCCGTGCTTGGAATCTGCGGCAAATATGCAGGCAGCAGTTGGACCAGCCACGCCGCTGCTGCTCGGCGGCGTCGTAAGACCCCACACAGCGATGCATCCATCTTCCCAGCCGGACGCCAGAGCTTTTAGCTTTGGGTGCCAAACCAACGCCGTAGAATCAGCTTTTCGCTGAATTCTACATTCATCCAAACAAACACCCTCTTCGAGGTAGAAAGAAATACAATGGTCGTCTGTCACAATCGCACATATTGGCTCAACGGTACACCATGCCACGGCGGTGACTTTCGTCTTACCTGGTAATGAGCAGGGGAAGTCAAGAAAGAGGGACATCGTGGCGGTTTAAACGACAAACTGCTGTCGAAAAGTCTACAGGCTGCTTACAAGTAGTAGCTTAGTTAGCCTACCCAGTGATTGACAAAGTAGCTTTCTAGTCAATCAAGATAATAATTGGCATAAAGGGTAGGTAGAGTGGGCCTCAAGGCCCACCCCACTACCCTAGTTTATTAACTAAATTCCCCCCTCTCTAAAATAGGTTCGGCTGGCCACGGGGAGTAGCGAGATAGTAAACTCCGACACGGGGAGGCAGCCTAGTGGGGCTGCCCTGCCGCCACGGTGTGAGGGTGAACTATCGAGGTTACGCAGTGGCGGTACACCGGCGTCTCTGTTATCCTCACGTCACCTCAGCTGCCGTAGTATACGGGGGCCGGGGCTACTGGACGAACGGGCAGAGGATCTGCCTCACTAGGTCCAGGAAGACTCTCCGTCTATTACAGTGCGGGATGCAGCTATAACAGGGTTAGAAAGTATCAAGGAAGGGAAAGGATATTGGGTGGCTCTGTACCAGCGAGCCACTAGGGAGATACAAAACTCTCTATCTCTCTACTCAGGCTCCCCCTGGATCGCAAGCCAGCAGTGAAGATCCAAATAGAGTATTTTGTTTTCCCAAGTTTAGGAATAAGTCCGCTAGTACGGCAAAATCCCGGGTTTTCAGTGTCGCCCCCTATCGGACCGGAGTCCGGATTTCACGCGTTCTCCTCAGAGCCCTTTTGCGTCGCTTCCGGCGGAGGACGGGCGGCCTGGCCGGGACTCGCCTTGGACAAAGGCCCCGACCGCACCCCGCCGCACTCCCGGGGCGCCTACCGCAGGGCGGTAGTGAATCTCGAGGGTTTCCCCCATATAATAGAGTAGAGTGCAAGCTACGACCCGCGTTATACTCCCAGGCCACTACACTATCTTAGACTAGCCTGACTTTAACTAACACCGCTTACTTGCTGGGCAAAGGGAGCACCCACACCACCCCAAATCTCCCCAGAGGCGAGAAGAAAAGGGCAGGCACCAGGCCTTGGTGCAGACCCGCGCGGGAACTGTCCCAAAAGCACTTCAGCGAGCAGCGGAAAGTAGGCTGGGAGTATAAGCCGATGCAGGCTGCTATCTTCAAACCGCTTTGAAGCCTTGAGGGTAATCCCTGGGCAACATATCCCGCCAGCAAGATACGTGTCTGAGGGCGGGTCGCCACTTGGGAGAAGACACCAAAATCAGCAGGGTCGATCTCGCCTCCTATGCAGAATGGCTCTGAGTCTGTGATTGCAAAGGCCCATTCTCTGGGACGTAAATTGGCCCATATTCACCATAACAAATTGCAAGCATACTCATGCTCCATTGCTGAGCCAGGGAGTGTGCTGTACCTCTCCCATCTGTCTGGGCTTGAGCAGCTGCAGAGAGGCAAATGCAATTGCAGTGGCAAGGGACACACAGCCGACTACAATGTATGAAAGCACGAGGAACTCATATTCAAATCCATTTGAAGTCGCAACCACCAAGGTTTTCCGACCTGAAAGCGCATGTACATCAAAATTGTTTTCAATGATAAATACTAGTTCAGTTCCTTCCTTAAGGTTGGTGTTGATGCGACCATAAAGTTTGCGAAATTTTGGAAGGGCGGCAGTCTTCATCCACACAGCAAAATGCTCGGAATTGACACCAACTAATGGGGAGATTACTTGCGGAAAGGTTTCATATAGGTATTGAAACTTATCGTGGCTTCCATATTTGAAGAGAATCAGATCCCCTGAATCGCAAGCGAAGTTATCAAAATATCCCCCACCACAGACATAACCAAAGCAGGTCTCAGTCTCCCAGCCTGCGGCGGCGCAGAGGCTCGCGTTGCAAGGAACAAATGCAGTGTGTGCACTCTTTGAAAGGCATGGGTCTGTGAGACTACCATTGCTCGGAAGAAACTGCCATGAAAATCCCTCTGGCATTTTGTAGAGTTCCTTAATATCAGACCTCCAGGCAATTTCATCCTCCTCGAAATTCAAATTCACGTTTTTTAGCGCAATGACATCATTGAAGAGAGTATTTGGCACAACCCCACACGGATGAAGTATTCTTGTTTTGTTTTTCCAAAGTGGATAACAATCCACTTCAAGCGTACTCTCCTTTGGGTCCTTCCGAGACTGCTCAGGGTGTAGCTGTTCCCAACTCAAAGACTTCAGATACGAGCGGTGGTTCTGATAGAAGCCTTCTATCTCATAGAAAACATGAATAGGACCTTTCATATCTTTCTCAACAAGAATTGTCACTTCGCATATAACGCCAGTATCTGAGACTTCGATGTGACAGCCTGCCATTGCTGAGCCACTCCCATCGTACTGCACGTGTTCCTCGATTGCCTGGGGAAACATGCTCAAAAGTTTTGACTGCGGTGGTAACTCGGGGATATGACTCCACCAGTGTTCATCAATGATCCGCCAACGCCGAGGAACATTACTCCAATACTAGCGAACAGACCAATGTAGGACCTAAGAGGATGTGAGAGGATGGCAAGAGCTAATTTACACACAGCGGTGTCATGATAGGAGTCCAGGCTGAGAGACGTTGTTGCAGAGCATCGTTGACTACGATACATTAGCATATTGATCCATTGTAGCGAATAACGCTTGCCTGCAGACCGTTGGCTCTGTGAGATTGACATGCTGTGTCAATCCGTCGAGCAATCTCAGCTCCGCCCCCAACGCAGTAAACTGTAAACTTTTAGACGTCCACAAGTAACATGTACATCCTTACCCCTAGCCGATCCCGGGACCATATCTGCGATGTATCAAGAATGTCACGCGCTAACGATCTCAAGCTCCAGTGGTGTCCTTCGGGTGTAGACTTCCCCGAAAAATCCTTAAACAATTTTTCTGTTCATGGGCGCCTGTGGGTCGTCAACGGAAAAGATTGGAACTGTCCTCGACACGGGCGCGAAAGCTACCTTAGTTTCGTCCTCGCAAAGTGATCCTGAAGTTGTGGCGCTTGCGCGCGAAACAAATTTGATATTGCCGGAGTCTCCCGAAAGATCGGAAGAGATTCTGGCTATTGATAACCAACAAGCTTCCAAGCGGCTATTATCCGATGATGGGCGAAGGGGAAGTAAAACGACCGCAGGAGGCAGGCGACAGTCGCGTCGAACTAGCACGCGGCGGCGTTCATCAGCGGGTTCGGAGGGTGGGGTCGGTTCTTGGTTTCATTGGGACATCTTCGGTGGCAAGGTCGTAGACGACGACATGGGCGCACCGGTATCTGAGGAGCTTGGCCTCTACTTTGAATGGGCAGAAACTCGCGTCAAATGCTATGATACACACGCACGCCGAGTTGCCATGAAATCCCATCGTCTCTGGAAAAACGAGTACAAGGTTCGCAGTGATCCAAGGATGACATTTCGAGTCCGTCGTTTTGATGGTGTCACTGGGGAGCTTGTATGTGGATGGCACGTTATCAACGGATCCGTGCTCCCAAAACAGTGTAAGATGTGGCAAATCTATGCGCCCATCTCATCGTTGTAGGCCCGTGCTGGTGAGGAGTTAAGCACCACCCGAGGGATTCTTGTCATGTCCGCGCGCTCGAATTCAACACTAATAGAGGTGAGAAGTCATTAAGTACTAGGCCTTGCAAAGCTGCACACGCCTAGGTCAAGTTTGACTACGAAAAAGTTTCGAATCTTGTACGAGCATTTAACGAGACTAATAGCACACGTGCATTAACACGATCAGTCCTACGTCAGATGCGAGATCAAAAGGAGTGCGTGCCAGGCAAGACACTTGAGTTCACCATCGTTCTCGATCCCCTGATGCCGGGAGAAGGTGTTGACCTGGATGCGCAGCACGCTGCCTACTGTGCAGCTCCTTGTCCTTTACGTTATGGACCGGCGCTGCCAACGATCGACGTAACCATGGTCCTTGCTGAAGACTATTACGGCCATCTGCAGCGAAGGACATCTACGTTCCGCAATATGATGCCTCAGATGAATCGCAAGATCGCAGACGAGTTCTACACGGAAGGAAATATCCAGGGTCGTAGAAGTAGCAATGCAAAGCAGGGCGATAGGCCCCATGATGATACCCCTGCCACCTGTGTTTCTGTAGACACCTCCGCTCGCGGGAACATCGGCACTCTCTAGTGGTGCCGCAGTCGCGGATCGAACGCCTAAATTAAGGCTTTGGTATCCACACAGGCGCTGGGCTCATTCTGCTCTGGGTTCAGGAGACTGTTTTTTGCCACTGTGAGGCCACTCTGCTGATAGCCCCTTGTAATTTTGTACTACATAATGCGAGATACCTTGCCATACGGGCTCGTGCCCGGCACTGGGTTCATGCGCAGCGATGACAAACGTGATTCCCGGTACAATTTCAGGGCTGCGCTCGGCCAAGATATGCCAGGGCCGCTCGGATACCTAGCCAAGTTTTGTAAGGATTAGTTCGAAAAGAGGCCCGAGACCGCCGGGACTGCCGCGGGCGGTCCGGGACCGCCAGGACCGCCGGTCCTGCGACGCGAAAAAGGAGGGCTTCAAGGACTGCGAGGAGCGGGCGGTCCAGGACCGCCAGGACCGCCGGTCCTGCGACGAAATAAAGGGAGGTCGCCCGGGGAGCGGGCCGTCCTGGACCGCCCGCGGCGGTCCCGACAGTCTCGGGCCTCGGGAGTCTCCTTTTTTTGTCGCGGGACCGGCGGTCCCGGCGGTCCCGGAGCGCCGGCCGGTCCTGCGACGAGGGAAATCGAGGCCCGGGACCGCCGCGGACCGCCCGGCCCGGGGCCCAGGACCGCCGCGCCCTGGACCACTGTGGCACGCCCAGGACTGCCACCTCCAGGACCGCCCGAAACCGGACCGCCGGGGACCGCCACGCGACCGCCGCGGGACCGCCGACCGGACCATCCGCCGGGAACCGCCGCGCTGCCGCGCCGGCGGCTCCGCACGGTCACCGGACGGTCCGCGCGTCCCAAGCTCGTCCCGGCGTTCCCACGGGCGGCCCCCGGGCGGTCCGCGGGCGGTCCCAAGAAACAGGACTATCCTACCCCCCGCACCTACCCCCCGACATTACTCTTCATGGCCACTAGGCGGGAGTGTGCGGCAACACCTACTACGCCTACTTACTAAGTAGTTTCAAATCTTTTTAGGTTGAAGGGGCTTACATTCCTTTGAAATGCCAGTGGGGCATCGTGTGGTCCATATGAGCCTCTAATATGAGCCATTTCGAGGCGTCTAGAGCGGTGGACAGCCCGTCCCATCGATCGTCCTCCACGCACTGCCTCGCGGCGGCTGCTGATGGCCACACGTTTTTCAAATAGGGCCGTCGGTTCAACTTGACCTTCAGGGGCGGAGCTCGCTTCAGCCACTTCTTTGGTTGATCCGTCTCACGAAACGACATGTAGGCTAGTGCGGAGGAAATATGTTCAGCCAATTAGACCACACATCTTTAACTGAGCGCGAAAACGATCCACATTCGCAGCGATTACTGCCGTGTGCATCACCTCTGGATCTGATGAAATCACCATTATCGCTGTGCTTCTCGTAAGATTCTCGAACAGGGCAGTCAGACGCTGATGCTGCACGAGCATCCCCTCAAAATGAGCCTGCACCTTGCGACAGCTGAGTTTGAACTGCTTAATGATATTTGAGATCTTTTCAAAACGATGAACATCGCCATGTGGAGTGCAAGTTGCGTGTGCTATGACAAGAAAGGTGGTACTTTCAAACAACACAACTTCATCTGCCCCGCAGGTGGTGCAGTATTCGTTGAGGTGCGATTCGAGGAGGGCTGTGTTTGGGACAAGCGAATATACGATATGGGACCATGCCCTATACAGCGTTTCGTCCCAAATTGATGTTCTGAAGCATGTTATTCGTAGTCGATTCCTGGCTTGGGCGAGAATGGAAGCTTGTTTGGTGGAGAAAATCTCATCGCGAACGTCGTCCTTGACCAAATCCATCTTGTGCACAAGGACATACACTCGCGCATCGGGTGAGTGCTGCTCAACTGCCTCGATGACGTCCGCGAACTGAGCAGAGTCGCTGCCTTGTTCTTCGCTCTCAATATCAAAAACATAGATCAATAGTTCTACTGAGCGGAAGATGTGGTCTCGCATGTGTTCAAGGTAGTTGCGGTAGAAGTCATCCTGGAGTTTAACAATGAAGGACTCAAATTGAATATTTCAGCAAACCTGTCCACCACAATCCCAAAGGTGCAAATGTAGATTTCCGAGGAAACGCACGTGCGAGTATTCCACGTCGATTGTGGGGGATAGTCGCATTGTATCTCGAGCTAAGTAGTCGGCAAAAATTATAGACCGCATAGATGTTTTTCCAGATCCAGAACGACCCATCAACAAAACTTTTTTTGTTAAAGGGATAGCCATGACTAACAATTTCGCTGTTCTATAACCAGGGTTTCCAATTGCGGTACCGGTACTCAGTTGTTCGGGACTCAGGTGCTAATGCGCGAATCAGTAGTTGAGGCAAGGAGCAAGATCCGTAACCCTCACAAGAGTTATGCGCCGTCCACTGGTTCGTAGACGAGGCACAATAACACACCCATAGATCTACAAGCAAGTGTTTGGCACCTCAGATTTAGAGATTACCACGGCCCTGCGGACGGGGGCTCGGCCGGCGCCGTCGGCCCGTGCGCGCGAACGCGGCCGTCCCTATGTCGCAAACTCGGTGAGCGCCGGCAGGGACGTCTAAGGGAGGCCCCGGCAAAGTCTCGCGCCCAACGGTGAGGGTGTTGCAGCGATCGGATGGCGTTCGTCCGATCCCTAGAGGAAATCCAGCCAAAACCGACCCTTACGCGACGCCATGGGAGTCGTTTTCGGCGCTCTAAAGGGCCGCGCGCACGTCAGCATGACCATACGCGACGGTCTGGCCAAAAAGACCGCGCGACGGCAGCGTTTTCTCGTCGGCGAAAAAAACGCGTGTCGAGCACCGAAAACGACCCCGAAACCGTCGGCGTGTCGCGGGACGTCGACGGGTCCCAGGGTCGCGCGCTTTGCGTCGCAGGTGTTGTGGTAGTCGAGGGCGGCCTCCGGAGCAGCCGGAGATCGTTGGAACCGCCGTCATCGATGCGAACTCGCCCGCCAGCGTCTCGCTGCGCGCCTTGAGCGCCAGTCCGCGGTCGAAATACGTGCGTCGGGACGATGTTCGACGTCGCGCCCCGTCCGCAGTACATTGGTGGACCCTCCGAAACGCTCGGAGCAGCCGCTGTAGTCGCGCGCGGCGCGGAAGGCGGTCCCGTCGACCGACCTCCACTGGCTTGCACTGCGGAGCGCACGGGCTGGTTTCGCGACGCGTTCGACTTCCCGCGCGTCGATACGCTGCACACGCACTCTCAGGGAGGTCCCCTAGCGGTCTGCAAAGTTTGCGACATAGACTCGGCCGCGTTCGCGCGCACGGGCCATCGCAAAAACCGCCACTGAGCGCCGAGCCCCCGGATCCTGCGGAGAACCCCCAGGGTGATTCTGCTGGTTTGAGTCAGTGTGCGAAACGACCATAGGGCTGGCGCGCGCCATAGGAATTATTAACTATTAATCTGCGGTCGCCCGGCGGGAGGTTCTCATAGAGGTCCTCCGTCCACCGCGCGCGGGGGTCACAACGGACGTCCAACGGACGTCCAACGGACGTGGGAAAATTCGTTTCAATTTTTTGTTTCCGTCCACTTGGCCTTTCGTAACTCCCACTAGCCTGAGCTAAAGGAAGCAAAGTAAAATCCTCCCTCAAGGGGAGGGTGAGCTCAGTTTCAATTAAAGATGCCAGAATGAAGGCCGACGGACCGGTGACCGCGCTTGGATGGCGCAGCCACCTACCTGGCTTACCTGTTGGCTTGCCACCTGGCTTACCTGTGGCGCCGCCTGGATTATCACTCTCCGACTTTTCAGCGCCGTCGGATTCCGCCCCGTGCTTCTTAGTGCCGGACCCACTGGTCAAACGGAACACCTTTTCTTCCATAATTTTCTCATGGATGTCTATTTGTCTGCACAGATAAGACGCTGCCAGTGTGCCGTAAATGCAATTTCGCACACTGGTTTGAGTGTTCTTCTAATTTGACTTCGCTCATCTGAAGCAACCCCCCTGGATGGGGTTCCATGCCTGCTAAAATGCACGAGTCGAGTGGTTGAGCCAAGGAGCCAGATCCGCAACTCTCGCTCAGGCTGGAGTTATACGATCTGTGGGCCAAGTGCTTCGCAGGAAACCCCACCACCAACTGGTGCGGCGGTCACTGGGCCATCTCTATCATATGATCTCTCTAGAGGTGGATTGTAAGTATGGCAGCTAGGGAGGGCCAGTGGCCCGTACGATCAGCACCATGTGGCTAATAAACTTATTTTCGCGCCGGCACGCTGCTGGCCTGTAGACAAGGACAAAAACAAACTCTGAAAACGAATAACCCAGGGTGATACTTCCCTTCGAGCAAGCGTTTCGTTGAACATTTAATTACGACTCCCAACCCGAACCGGCGACCCCACACCCTGAACGTGTCTCAAATGATACGATTAGCGCGCTAACTCAGTGCGCGCGCCTGGCGGGGGCAATAATTCAACGATTTTGCCAGCATTCAGTTCGGCGGTCGACCCGCGCGCGCGTGGTCGACGGAGGACCTCTATGGCACACTACGGCCGGCGGCCAGAAATAATAAATAAATACTTCTATGGGCGCGCCCAGCCCTATGGTTGTTTTTGTCCTTGCTGGCCTACGCAGCTTTTTCGCCTGGGCAGACCAGACGTCCTGAACGTTGAATCGTGCTCGGTTCTAAGGGCGTGCGAGGCTTCGTTTTGTGGTCATATGCTTGAGGCACGTCAAAGAATTCCTTGTGTGTCATATGGAGGAATGAGTTTTGTTTAGAAACAGCTACGTGGTGCCGATGGTCCCAAAGTGTATCTGGCCGCCACTTGACAGCGCGTTGAGCTGGCCGCAAATCAAATGTTAGCGAAGATCTCGATCTCCTTCCTGAAGCTCGAACGGAAATAAGCTTTGACGTATTTGACGACGGATGGAACGAAGGCGTTTTTTTGAAGAGGTCAGGCGGTGGATTCCGCGGCCAGCAGCCACCCATGCTACGATAGCATGACTTAAGCTTGCGGTGTAAATCTGTCAAGCTACAAAAGACGGAAGTTCAACTGATAAATGCGGCATCTACGCAGCGTGAAACTCATCATCGTCCTGATTTGTGCGTCGCCGCTGCGGTCGATCACGCTTTGCGAAGCAGTCGTTTACTGAGGCCTACAGACGGGAAATGCTAGGTGTTTACAGTGAATGCTGCTCACATCCAAACGTTTGTTGTGAAAGGAGTCCAATGGGACAGCCAGCGAGTTTACGGTCATTTTTCAGCCGCTGTGACAAAGATACTTATTCTTTAGCCGAGAAACGGCTTAAGGCAATGGCTAGGAGATACTTATTCTTAAGCCGAGAAACGGCTTAAAGCCAATGGTTAGGAGGGCGCGAAGAATGTACTCGTCAAGTAAGGCATTTTCAGAGCCGATCAAAAAGGAATTTGCATGGCTTGATGAGAGCATGGGGCTAAGTCCTGGCCAGAGGGACGGGTCTATTTTGCGTCAACCGGGTGCC